CTCAAATGTTTAGAATAATTAAAATAAAATAAATGTTGTCAACTAAAAATTTTAAACGTCGTAGCTAGCTAGACATTGTTTTCAATTGAAAAAAAAAAAGATTATAAAGCATAATACTATAATCCTATGCTTAAAATGTATTTTCTTGTGGCCGCCTGACAGCAACCTGTAAATCTGGCGCGACAGTGAACGTGTTAATAAGTAAATGTTCAAATTATGTCGTGTTTGATATCATTTTGATCAGAAAAATCTCAGCAACATGTTAAAAAAAATTCCAGATGAAGAAAAGTAAAATTAAAGAAATGATATTTTTCTATTATGATATGTCGAGCCGTGTAATCGCGTAAAGGAAACCGACTGGTGTAGCGTTACACGTTTGACTGACTGCAAGCGAAGATAACATGGGCGCAGCAATAACGCAGCCTAGGCGTAGGACCGTCTATACTGTCACTTGAAGAATCCAAACTTACTGACTCCTGTAGAGAATTTACTGTATTTATTGGAAAAAAAGTTACATAACAAACAAACTGCAAATAAAATGCATTACTCAACGATCCGAACTTATTTCGAATCACGTCTAACAAGAACAACGAATTCGTATCATATCTATCGCGTAATATTCAAGTGATACAAAAGAATAATTGCAATTAATTTACTTAACATCCTAAGTCTGTATACACACATACGATGCCGCAAATACAATAAATTATAAATTATACGTTATATAAAATTCTACAGATTTCGCGTCGTTACTTGTAAAGAACGGTCTTAGGATTGAGACCGAGTCGTGTGGCGTCGTGTCGAATGACGCCAGACACGAATCGAATCGAATAGAATCGAATTGTGCGTCTTCCAAGTACCAGATGCTATCATGTACCGAAGTGTTGTGTAACAAATTTCTTGGGTTTAATAACGATTAATGACTTGATTAATCCAGTCGAGATAATATGAAACGCGAGCATATACACCGGGAACGCCTGGTTGTCCACAACCAATACCCCATGACACAATTCCTGCCAATTGCCAGTGACCGTTACGTTCGCAAACCATAGGACCACCACCATCGCCTTTACACGCATCTTTTCCTTCTTCTCCACCAGCGCAAATGAATCCAGGATGTAAGTTGAAACTTGGTCCTAATCTCGTCCTCCTCATTTGCTGCTCGCACACTTGGTTATTTACCACAGGTATGTCAACTTCCTTTAAAATATTCTGATACTTTCCAAAGTCCCCGAAGGCGTCCTTACCCCAGCCAGTTGTCCAACATCTGTTTCGTCGTAACGAATACATTTAAAAAATGTAAAATGTATTTAAGAAAAATAGAAAATAAACGAATTATAACGTGTAAGGTCTTACCTGCTTCTTGAGAAGTCGTCGCGTTTATCTGGCAGACAGGCAGGGCTAATGTGCGGATTCTTTTGGAAATCGACCTCATGATCGATCCTCAATATCGCGATATCGTTATAAAGTGTACCAGCGTAGAATTCTGGATGAACATTGACGTTCGCTACGTCACGTTCGATGTACGGATAGAACTCAACATCGTGATTCACGTCCCATTCTCCTAAACGAACGCGAAGATCTCGTGGCGCGTAAGTTTTCACGCAATGTGCTGCAGTGAGAATGTGTCGAGGTGAGATGAGTGTACCACCACACACGTACACACTCTCTGTTGGGTCTTTCTTCAATATGGCGACTTGCCAAGGATATTCACCTACGAATTCAAGTTTATAATTTATTTTAAGAGAAATTGTTGAATTCTATAGCAAGTAATACCAGGGGAATACCAAGGGAATACCAAGTGAAACAAAGACAGAGAATTCTTACCAAATTCAGCGTCACCATCGACGTACGACGGGGTCTTGATTCTTCCATTGATTCCTTGAGTGTATCTGGTTCCACATTGACCAGGCCTTGGTTTCTTTATCGGCTGTCTTCTCGAACAACACACGTAACCAGGACCACAGACGCGAGGAGAGCCTGTATACTGTCTCTACAGAGGAAACGACATTTTCATTTCAGGTATATGTATGTACGTCGTATCGAGAGAACGAACTGTAACTTAGATACAAGTATACCTACGGTACATATGACACATCGAGGGAAACTCAAACGGTACCTTTTCCTCAATCACACACGTTCGAGTTCCTTCGACTTGGATACGCGCCAATACTTACCTCCATTGTGTCCTTCTGTAATTGTGACTGCACGTCACGCTTTCTTCTCTTCGGAAACGATACTTTCCCAGAGGTTCTTTCTTTGGGAATTGTTCGTTCATTTGCATCAGCATCGGGCGTTTCGTTAGCATTGCTACGCCCGATACCGCGATAACTCTCGTCGTAATCGTAATCGTAATCGTCATCGCCGTCTCGATAGTAATCCGAATATTCATGGGGATATGAATTTGCGTAATGATGGGACGGATGATGGTGAGGTTTCACGTAATACGGTTTCTCGTAAATCTCAACAGGCTTTTGGGGATAATAGTGAGGAGCATAGTTGGGCCCGTAACCATCGAACAGCGCTTGCTTCTTGTGAGAGAGAATATGACCGAGTTTCTGCACGATATTTCGATTAGGCGTCACGTGGAGATTTACAAACGGTTTTACCACCTTCTCGCCGTATTCGTCTTTGGTGAATTGCACAGCTAGCAGAGGATTCACGGAAACCAGGCCTAAATTTATGCCTTGATCACCGGAACCGTACCCATTGTACGGATTTACCAGGACATTGCCACCATGAGGACCGATAGGGTACGAACCACCAGTTTGCGGCAGACCGAAACTGATCCCCCAGGTTGGCTTCAGGTTTAATTTCGAAGAGTCCAGATCGCTAGCATCGAGTCTCTGCAACCAGAGAGACGAACAGTCATCCAGATTGAGACCGAGTTTCCGCTTTTCTTTTCTTTTTTCTTTTTACGATAAAAACTCTCAACTAGCCTCTATTCAAGTTTATATAAGCAAATACGCGTATTCGATCGTCACGGAATTAGCACGCGAAACGACGACGACAATACCACGATTATAATTCTACGCTTAAGCTCTATGGAACACTTCAATATTCTTACCCCTTCTCCGTCCGACTTCTTTCTGCCCTGGATGCTCGTCGATACATCCCTGGTTGCTTCCCTCTTGCTCCTACCATTTTCTTCCGACACCTTCGATCCTTCTCCGATACTTTGGGCGGCAGTTTGGGCCTCGATCGAGTCGATCTTGTTGCTCTTCGGTATGCGTACGATGGTAGACGTTCCATTAGCATTCTCCTCTATCACTATCGCGGCGGTCCCATCGATATTCTCAGCTTCGATATTTTTATTCAGATTACGAGGGTCGATGGGGAGGAAGAGATCGTCTTTACGACCAGCGTGCTCGCTTTGGCATTGCTCGTACGGTACGCATACGCAGTCCCCAGAATAATCGTTTCCAAACCCTTCGTTCTCGTTATTGTTACCGTAGTAATTGTAGTAGTTGTTATTGTTGGTCGTTCCAGAGGCAGCGAAGTCATTAGACGATGCATGAACGGCATTAGGCGAAACGTAGTTGTTCCCTCCGGTGAAGTACTTGCCGGTCTTATGTGCCTCCGTTTTTCCATAAGCGAAATCTCGCGTTGGTTTCTCGTACACAGGATACCGATCGGCGTAGCTACTCGCCGACGCAGAACCGCTTGATCCGCTTGATCCGCTTGATCCGCTCACATCGTTGCTCGTTCCTTTCACTTTGAACGCTTTCTTGTAGTCGTCGAAATCTTGGAATCCTCCACCGAGTACTCCAGAGCTGGGAACATCGTAGCTTGTCCCTATATTTCCGTAATTGCTACCATAACCGAGGGATGTAGCACCCTGATTGATCGGCCCAGGGCTGAACGAAGGTCCTCCGCTAATTGTACCACCACCTGCGCCTTCGTTGTGATGATAGTGATGGTGGACGTGTTGTTGGACCGGGTCAGAGCCCACCAGAGATGGTCTCAGTGCAATTTGCTTCTTGTCGATGAACTGACTGTTGCCCTGGTACTCGAATCCTTCGCTTACAGCACCTGATTCGAACACTGGTTTCGACGGGAAGGTCGAAGGAGGTCCGGGTTTCTTGAAAGACGGGTAGGAGCCGAGTAAACCGGAAGCAGACGCGAAGGACGGAGGGTGTGGTGCACCACCTGCTCCGTAGATCACTTCTGGCGGTGGTCCAGAAGAGATAAAGCTGGATGGTGGTCCGGGTCTCGGAAGACCGTAGGGTCTTTTCACTGGAATAGCCGGCAGAGGTCTTCCTACAGGCTTAATGGTCACGGGTTGAGCGTAAATTATATCTTGAGGGTGTATACCACGATGCGGGGAGTAGTACGGACGACGTCCCTCGACATTTTCGCACTGTGTAACGCATTCGAATAATTTTCTATCAGTCCACTTGCTCGTGTAATTGTTTCAGCGTGTACTTACGTTCATTAGTCCAAGAGAGCACAGTTTATCTCGGATGTACGATCGGGCAATCGTGTCGTTCCCTAATTGAAGCGCGTTCTTCACCTCAGGATCTGAGTACAGTTGATCGAAACCCTCGATATTGCGGCCCTGTCGATTAGAAACGAGAATTTCCTCGATCACCGATTCCACCTGCAATCGAAGCAGATAATTAGATATATGTCTCCTTGAAAAAAAGAAAAACGGATATATCCGTTCACTCACCGATCGCTGTTCACCGGGTGGTTCTACAACTTCGATGTTTGCATTTCCGGAGATAGCTCTCTCCTCTTCATTCTCCCTTATGCCTGGATTTTCAGATCCACCGATCGGCAGGGTGTCTTGGCCTTGCCACGACCAATCAGGAGCGTTCACCGGTACTTGAGTCGCGGAAATTTGAACGGCTATACCGAGTAATCCAAGGATCCACAGCTTCATCCTGTCGAAAATACTGCTCAATCGGTAGGTTGTTCTAGCGACGAAAGGTACCTCTTTACGACTGCCGGTGGATTGGAACAATAGGAACCGACGACCGACAAACCGACCAACGAAAGCGAGAGGATGTCGGGAGAAAGTCGCTAAACTGGTCTTCGCGTGATAGCCCGCGTCTTACACGCCCACACTAGCGCGCGTCCTTTCAAGTGTTAGGCTCGTTTGAAAAATTTTCAACCGCGGTGAAAGTTGTTGCGCAATATTTGCGCGACATAAACAAATTCTACCTCTCGTTCGTTGAATATCGAATAGAGGAGCAGCTGTGAAACAAGGAGCCGTCGTTTTAATTAAACGCAACTGCAATGAAATCCGTATGTGTAAACCTCCGATGTGAAAAAGGAGAGCGAAAGAAACGGAGAAAGTTGAGGATGTTGAAAAGGTGGAAAAGATAAAAAAGTATAACGAGGAGAAACGTACGAGGTTAGTTCCTCACCTTGTTCGTTGTCGCTTTTCTTTCAGAGATATCGAATCCTCGCCGCTAATTAAAGGTCTTTATAACCGGCGGGCTGTCGGCGAACGTCTGCGATGCGTCGAGTTTCGCTCTCTAACCAAACGCTTTCTCCATGAACGAGGTTACTCTGCGCGTTCACCGATGCCATTCGTATCTTATATAGACGACCTTTTCGGAGATGCTGGGACGTAGTACAAGAAGTTACGGTGGGGTACGTTCGTGAGTCATCGTACCTGCCGGACATCCGTTTTGGATAGGTTCCTCGAACCGCGCAGTATGTAGCGCTCTTGCACCCGACGCTCTCACGAAATTCCCGGCAAAACCCGTGGTTCGCGATTCAAATTACACCACTCGTACCTGGTCAGCTTTCCATTTTATAACAACTTTTTCTCGAAATAAAAAGTCACAGTAGGATTGATGAAAATTCTCATCGACGCGTATCATATTGGGATGTTGGTCGATATAATAGGAGGAAAATTGGGCCTGTGATCGAAAGTGATAAGAATACAAATGCTAATTTACCGATCGATCGGGGTCGGTGTATCGGTGACACGAATGACGCGACAACAGGCGACGTAGGTGCGTACGGATCTACGCAAGCACATTGTGTAACTCGGAATTTTCGTTAATAGACTTACGTAACATAGACCACGAAGCGTCCTCGTTTAAGAATACACGATCCTTAGCGGTCTAGCCGATTCTCGAATAGAATACTAAACACCTCGAGACATCTGTAAGGAAAGCATAGAGTTTGCCGTGGTTGTAAGAAAGTCGATGATTTCTCCTGTATTGCCGCGACTGCGAGAAAGCGAAGGAACGATTGGTCCAGCCTGAACGCGTTCCGTGTTTGGAAGCGATCGAAAGCTTCGAATTTTCAGCAGTGTTACCGGCGATGCTGAAATTTTCAATGAAGCCACCGATCGTCCTCGAACGCCTCCTCGACCGCCATTTTCGTAACATGCTGTTCCATATCGAGATCCGGGAGAAAGTGTTTCTTCTTTCTTTGCTGCGGTCTTCCGTCGATTCGGAAATTGCATTCGCCGTTGTTTCACCGAACGATGAAAACGGACACGATGCTACGCAGAGCCGTTGGCTCGAGCTCCGTTGCATAATCTGGATTTTCCACCCTGTCGCGTAACCCTCGGGGTTTTGCCAACTTGTGCGGTGAAAGCATCCGTGCATTATCTTTTTCGAAAGTTACATGGAAAAACCAACTGATCTAATTAGCGTTCATACGATCGGAAATATTCTATATCTAGACGGAATTATAGCACGGATTACCGGCGACAGATTGATTACGTGTTACAATCTGAAAATCTATTGTTATTCGTCGCCTACGCGTCGCGTGAAAACAGTTGGGTCGACCCAGAGAAAGCAGGATCCATTTTCACTTTCGATTTCGATTCTTACACGTCTAAGGTATTGCGGCGTGTGCCGAGAGGGCTGGGGGAAGGAAAAGGTGAACACGTAACTGTGAACAAAGCTTCTACGATCTTATGAAAAGATGTATATTTTAAATTGATTACTGCAGCGCGTCCAGCGAATTTATCGATACACGATACATGAAGAGATGACTGGTGAGAAGGAAAGCCGTGCTCTGTGGTTGGTACGCTAGGTTCGTCGAGTTACCGTCTGACTCGCGTCGATGGTGGTTTTCATGGTTCGGCAAGTCAGTAGATAATGCGATAACCGTGTTGTTCGATCGAGTAAGTGGAAGGCGCTGGTGCTAGTTCGAGAGACGTCAGAGTCGGTACGGCGTAAGCGTACTGGAAAAAGGAAGCAGAGAGTTACCTTGAGCGTGTAAGAGAAACTCGGTGGGGAGACACGTTTCGAATGGTTTCGGTCGAGTTTCGACGGACCTGCAGAGGCGAGAGGATAGGCGCTGCAGCTATCGGTGTCGCCAGGGGTGCAACCAAATGCGCCAGTTTCGTAGTCGAGGCTGGTGTCTTGATCTCGGTTAAGGTCGTCAGAGCTTTTCCAGATGCGGCTGGGGATCGTCCAGGGGGCAATGTCGAGGCTGCTGCTGACGCTGGAGCCAGTGCTGGAAGTGGCGTCTGGTTTTCTAGGGAAATCTCATCCTCTGCAGTTTCTGCTTTAACTCCTGGCGGAGATGTCGGCGCGGCGTAAGCCGTGGCAAGCGCAATAGTGAGAACGATCTGTGAAAAAGATCCTCATTTCATAAGGTAGCCGTTTGGAAAAAGGATAATACGATTTGGATCGAAGATTTTACTCACGAGTCTAAGCATGATGAGTCTGAGATTTCTGTGCACACGCCTGAAGGATGCTCCTTTATTTCTGGCCGAGAATCCTCTCGAACCTCTCGTACTTATAGAGATCCCGAGGGTGCCGTAAAAAGGAAACCCGTCCTCGTTCGCGAGTTCCTACACATCGCGTTGCATTCCTCTTTGACTTTAGGGGCGGGACTTATCCTGCAACTTTGCTCCACCTTGAATACGGTGTACGCACGTGAAAAATCTTTCGGATGGGGGGGGGGAATATTCCTCTCGACTGTTATCTCAGTCATCCCGGATGATTGAGAGGAACGTTTCGTCAATTTTCTTTCTTTCTCTTACAAAACAATCAAACGACGCGTCTTATAATGTCCAATTTTACATCAAAGAGATTTATCGTGAAATGTCACGCAGAATAAGCTCAGAGATAATGAGCATCGCCGTCCCGTTCATATTTCCCGAGTCGTGTGTCGGATTGGTTGACGGTTGAAAGCTTATGATGTAATATATTTCCACCGGGATAGAATGGAAATTGTCATCCACATTTATTGTCATCCGTTTAACGTTAATCGATACTTTGAACCTACTGCTGCTATATGCGAGATTTTTCGTTAAATGGCTTCTCCTAACGAACGATACTATATGTAACAAAATGTATTTTCCTCCGTGTTCGTTTATCGCGTACTAAAATGTCCTGTGAAAAAACAACATTGTAAATAAGTTTCCACACGGAACCCTTGGTCGGTTACCCCAAGAGAGGAAGGGATAAAGGCGTGCCTGCTTGGACGACAAAAATCGACTTCGTGATTGTAACCGGTTCGCGGGTCGACCTAGGTACTTTGCTCGTCCTTAGACTCGAGGCCAAGCAAATTTTCTGCTTGTAAAACGTCTCGAAACTTCCAAGCAATTTCACCTGCATACCCCCCCCCCCCCGATTTTACCTCCTACGGTGTATTTTCATCCATTTGTCAGGGCTCTTAAGCACAAAACGATGTTAGAAAAATCTTATTCTACCTAAATGGTTAGCGCTCAGAGAGATATTCGCTGTTCGTTACCAAACAGAGAGTAAACTGTGAAAAAAAAAAGAAGGTGTAACGAAAGGAAGGGCGGGGGAAGAAAGAGGTTGAAAAAACAAGCTGCACGTTTGAATTGAAAAAGCGAGGAAAATTTTATTCTCGATAAATGGTCGATTCTCGAATCGTGTCCTCGAGCCGGGTGTCACGATCTCAAGGAACGACGTGGTCGTTCTGAAGAGCACGGTCGACTAGAGCTGCTGAAGAAGTGGACCCGTCGGTGCATGGTGGTTTCAGTATGTGTATATGGGAGCGTGAGCAAGTACGGTTGCAGCTGGAGCAGCGGCGACGATTGGTGCACCGGTTTTCACTACAGCAGCGTGGGCCACGGGTGCAGCGATGTAGGGAGAAGTGGCGATCAGAGGGCTCTTGACGGATACTTTGTAGGTGTTGGCGTAGCTGGTGGCGACTGGGACGGTGTGCGCTACGGCGAGTGGAGCAGCGGCGATCACAGGAGCCGCATGGATGGCGGCAGGAGCAGCCAAGAGACCTGGTGCAGGTTCAGGTGCCGGGGCAGCCAACGCACAGGCGAAGAGAGCGAACAGAGCGACGAATTTGTACATGGTTACAAATGTGGTTGTTGTCGTTACTGGACGTAAGACGGATTAAGACGCTTCGTACTTGAACAGCTGAGATTGCTGAGAGACGAGTGATGCTTGACTACTCGGGCCGCTGTCCTTTTATTCCGGCAAGCTGACCTCTCCCACCAGGACTACGATCAAACACACTCCATTCCATTCGACTCGACTTAACTTGGCTCGTCCTGAACAAGACTATCCTACCACTTCCCACTACCTTTGCAACTAGACGAGTTCAGGGTCTCCACTAGTTTCTTTTCGGCTACACCATGTGGGGAGAACATTGTCAAGGACTATGGACGGTCTGGATCCGCGTGCAACGTACCCAAAAGACCCCGTACTTAATTTTTTCTTTGCTCGTTACCGATATCATCGACCCTACGTCCACCGATACGGTTCCGTCTGCACGTCGAATTGTTTCGGAAGAAGAGATGCGACCGCATCAGGCCGATTATACATAGGATCCGTCTATAACGGGCAAACGCCCCTCGTATTTCGATTATAACTCCAGTTAGTTAACCGACATTTCGCTAATTAATAAACGCGAATGCCATCCCCGTAATCCGGCTTCTATTTCCACGTTGACGTAACGCACCTCTGTACCCATACCCGTCGAACTTAAGGACGTTACGTTACGTTGTACCGTGTGTTTACTTGCAGCGGCAGCGCGATTGAATAACAATTGGTAAGCTTTAACGCCCACTCCGCGCCGTACAGAGGTGCGTCGCGACGCATACCGACGCGGGTCGTCCGAGTACCCGGGCTATCGGGTCGTTTACGAAAGAAACAAGACTGTTGTGACACCGTTTTGCGAAAGTGTACGCGATTTCGCGTGTTCTCGTAACTCCCGTTTGTTGTTCCTCCCGGAACCAGTCCACCTCGTCTAAATCTCCCTCTCTCTCTTCTTTTCGCTCCTTTGTCAACGAGTGGACGCGTATTTCGTAGCAAGGTCGCGTATTTCGTAAATGCCCCTCTTTACGTCGGCCATCCGACAAAGTACGTCCTCGATCAACGTTTATTTTTTCATTTTTTATTATATGCTCTCGTCTCGACCTTCGTCGCGGCTATCTCCACGGCTTTTCGTTGTTGATCGACGGAGGTCGATCGGTTTGAAAAGATCCGGCATGCCAGATGATCGTCGATAATTCTGAACCTAGCACCGCCAAAATCCGGAAGGCCTTGGCCTCTCGGTTGTCACATCCGATGGTTCGGATGATGGTTCGGTATAAAAGTAGCAGCGTACGTCGGGGATCGAATCACTCGAGGTTCACGGCGACTCCAAGTAATGTCGCGTTCCCGAAGCGTGTTGCTTATTCGACTGTTGGCTCGTCGCCTGCTCGAAATAAGGTGTTGCACCGTGTTGTTGCATCACGGTCGATGGCTATCGCCCACGGTGATTACGATACTCTGTACGCTTTCAACAATTCGCTTCTTTTCGTGGTCGCGGTCTAATAGGTGGGAATTATCGTCGCCTCGCGGAACAAATTCGCAACAATCGATCGTCCCAGTCTATTTTCGTGATGTTATATGTACGTACGTGTTACGACGCTTGTCACAAACCTGTTCGATGCATAACGCGTACTTACGATTGCACGTTTAATCCATATTCAATACAATTCAATGTATTGTTAGAGTGCTCGACGGTGAAAACAACAAGGGATAAAAACGGAATGGGAGAGGCTAGTGGAAAGAATCGCGGACGTAAGAAAGAGCCGTGGAGATTGATAGACGCGATAAATAAGTTGCAAAGCTAGGAACCGGCGATGTTCGTGGCTCGCCAACCGCGAATGTAATAATCTCCGAGGGACCTCGACCGATCGAATGTAGAACGCCACAGCCCGTGGAAGAGCCGAGAATCACCTCGAGTATGACAATGCTATCGTTTCATTCTTCTCGCGCGACGATATATGATTCATGGTCGATCCTCGATCAGCGCGTCACTTGCCAGCCGGTGGATATGCAAACCCGCGGATATAGACGCGTGAGAAATTCTCCTCTAAACGGATCAAGGGAGAAATTTGTCAGAGATTGTTCTAGTATGTTTTACACAGAGTATATTGAAGGAACGTAGGTTGATACTCTTTGGAAGATACAGTAACGTTGACTTGCGAGACAGATGATTAATGAGACATGCACATTTTTATAAGAAACGAAAATTCTACTATATATATGTATTGTTTCGGAAGGGTGCGACTGATCTCATGGATTATCACCCTCTCCCTCTTCCTCCTCGTCGAATTCGCCCTCTTCGTCGGCGGTGGCTTCTTGATATTGCTGGTACTCGGAGACCAAGTCGTTCATATTACTTTCAGCCTCGGTGAATTCCATTTCATCCATGCCTTCTCCTGTGTACCAGTGCAGGAAAGCCTTCCGCCTGAACATCGCGGTAAACTGTTCCGACACTCTCTTGAACAATTCCTAAATTCGATACGATAAAACGTTGGTGTAACCGTTCTTTCCAATTTTCTATAACTTCTCATCGTTGCCTTACCTGAATTGCTGTAGAGTTTCCAATAAAAGTTGCAGACATTTTCAATCCTCGAGGAGGAATATCGCAGACAGCAGTCTTCACGTTGCTCGGTATCCATTCCACGAAATAACTACTGTTCTTGTTCTGAATATTCAGCATCTGCTCGTCCACTTCTTTCATCGACATTCTTCCTCGAAAAACGGCTGCCACCGTTAAATAACGACCGTGACGGGGATCACACGCAGCCATCATGTTCTTCGCGTCGAACATTTGCTGCGTGAGTTCAGGAACCGTGAGGGCTCTGTACTGCTGCGAACCTCTGTCCCAGGAGGGAAATAGCACGGCGTTAAGTGACAAACATTTATCGTGCCATTATCGTCGAGTTACGCGATAATACCATACCTGGACGTTAAAGGAGCGAAACCAGGGATAAAGAAATGCAGTCGGGGAAAGGGTACCATATTTACAGCCAGTTTACGCAAGTCAGCGTTCAGTTGTCCAGGAAATCTCAGGCACGTGGTCACTCCACTGAGCGTTGCGCTCACCAAATGATTCAAGTCACCGTAGGTCGGTGTGGTTAACTTTAACGTGCGGAAGCAAATATCGTAAAGGGCTTCGTTGTCAATGCAGTACGATTCGTCCGTATTTTCTACCAACTGATGCACCGATAGAGTGCAATTATACGGTTCCACCACAGTATCTGATACCTATGTATGTATCGGAAAAATGAGATTTCCATACTTTTTGCATGACGAACAGACACGCACAGAAAAATGAGGGGGAAATAAAGTACCTTTGGAGACGGTACCACGCTGAAGGTCATCATAATTCTGTCAGGATACTCTTCTCGAATTTTCGAAATGAGCAACGTCCCCATTCCAGCTCCCGTTCCACCACCAAGAGAGTGGGTTAACTGGAAACCTTGAAGGCAATCGCAACTTTCGGCTTCCTTCCGTACAACATCGAGGACAGAGTCGACGAGCTCCGCGCCTTCGGTGTAGTGCCCTTTAGCCCAATTATTCCCGGCGCCGCTCTGCCCGAAAACAAAATTGTCCGGTCGAAATATCTGACCGAACGGTCCAGAGCGTACAGCGTCCATGGTGCCGGGCTCCAGGTCGACCAGAATCGCTCTAGGAACATACTTTCCCCCTGAAGCTTCGTTGTAATAGACGTTTATGCGCTCCAGTTGCAGATCTGAATCGCCGTGATACGTGCCGGTAGGATCGATACCGTGCTCGTCGGAAATCACTTCCCAAAACTAACAGAAATTGCTTCTTTCCAGACGATCCGTAAAGAGAGAGAGAGAGAGAAAAAAGTGTTATCTCGTAAGAAATACCTTAGCTCCTATTTGATTGCCGCATTGACCAGCTTGAAGATGGGCGATCTCGCGCATTTTTCAGACCTTCTCTTTTCTACTTCTTCTTACCCAGCTCTCCTCGGTATACTATTCAAATTAGACCACCTTTTATCCACCTCTATTTTTCTACGAGTTCTATCTTCCTCGCAACACTCGAGAAATTCCTGTGAAATGGCGAGTTTGTCCTGAGCGCACTCACGAACGTGGAAAGGCTCGAAATCGTCGACGGTAATCAACGAGTTGTCGTCTGTTTCACGGTTGCCTTGGATATTTGCCTTCGCTCATTTGTCTTACCAGCCTCAACTTCCTTTCTTTCTCCGACACGAGCGAGATCGCGTGGTACATAACGTATACACTTGAACGGTTTCCATAGGAACTTGCTCCTTATTTAATGACTTACATGTATCGTTTATAGCGATAGGGGGAAAAAACAGAGGCGAACAACGAGAAATTTTTATGGGAGATAAATTTTTTTTATTTTTCGCATAATGAACAGTGAACCAAAGATTGTCGATTAACGGTAGAAAAAGAGACGAATAGAGGAGAGGGGAAACATCCGGAAACGTGGCCAGCATCCATTACTGTATTTCAGATCAACGACATTCACCGAGGTCCGGGATGTTCGTTCGGTGAGAATGGCGGGGAGGGATGGTAGTAGCGAGAAGGTTAGGCTGTTGTTTCACGGTTGGGGATGGGCGTTCGAACGCAACCGGATGTTTCACGGGTGTCCTCGAGAATGGTAAGGTTGAAAAGGTAGGATTCTCAGCGTCTGCCGGCGATCAGCGTTGCGGCGGGCAGGCCGGAATAGGCGAATGGAGCAGCGGCGGCGTGGGCGACCAGAGGGCTGGCGATGTACGGTGCAGCGACCGCGTGATTAATCGCGTGAGCGTTGTAGCTGGTCGCATAGGTTCCGACCGTCAGAGCTGCTGGAACTGGTGCCGCGAATGCCGCTGGGACCGCCGCAGGAACTGCCGCTGGCAATAAACCGGCGGAACAGGCCGCGATCAAACCGGCGAAGAGAACCTTTGATCAAGAGAAACATGTCAATTTTATATTAGAATTCTCGATCTTTGAGATTTTTTCATCTGGAGCTAGGGAAACGATGCAAAATTGATCACACCGCGCTCCAGTGAAGTTCTTGCGACCACCGTATTGCTTCTTCGTCAACTTACCAAGAATTTCATGGCGAACATTTCGTTTATTGGAGGTTTCGAAGGTGTTTCGAGTGGATAGCAATGGACAACTGTACTGTCATGTGGATTAGTTAGAGCTCTTTTATACTCAGTTTCGTCCGGGAATATACTCCCACTACAAATGGTGTTCGCAACACTGGTTCGTGGCACGATGCGACAGGAACACGCTTCTGCATACCGGATTACCTTTGCTCAGTTTTAGGCCACGCCTGGCATTACCAACGGTAACTGTCTCTACACCCGAATCTAACCTTCACTTTTTTTTTTTTTCCTATTCCTTCAAATAAGCTTCTTTATCGCGTGGCGTTTGATGGTGTGGAGTTGCGCGGTGGCGACTCGGTGTCGTTCACCGCGGATACGCCGTCCTCGAACGTCCTTTGTTCGGTACGTTTTCTCTATCGTTTCACCATAGTCATTCGGTGACGTCCCATAAGCTACACAACATGCCAAGAATAGAAGTGTTATATCAGAGAGGAGAATTTGAACAAGCAATAGCGTGGAAAAATGAACGATAGTTTGGAAAGTTCTTCTCGTCAGCAACGGTGACTGCTTCACGTGAACGTGGACCTCGCGGAGATTGCAAACGGAGAGCAATTATTTATCATTTTTTGGCGTAGTTTCAGTTGCTTTCCACGATTCTGAAATTGACGCAATTATAACGAGAAGACATCGACGTCGTTTCAGGTTCAGTTTCGACCAGTGATATATGTTTGGGTGCGGCTCATGCTCGTTCTAAATACGAAACGCGACCGCGCGTTCTGCGTCTACAACGACTGTTGGGACATCGCAAGTTTCGAAGATCGTTCATCGAACGTGACTCGAATTTCCAACTTGAACTGCCGTCTTATTCGTCAACTTGCTCCTCGACGAAGACTTTCCTTTCGTTAGTCGATATAGATTGTCATATCAAACGTTCGCCTTTGACCCCGCAGATTTTCGTAGAGACCGAGCAAATCTTCTTACTGATAACTGTGAGAAACGAGGCAAGATGGGCGTAGTAATAAAACAAGGGTTGTATCGTTCGTATAATTTGTTTATTTCAATTTTACATATTACAATAGAGAAGTTTCCTTCGTTAAATAACGTAGGAAGCAGATGTTATTCTTAATACACATAGTGTACAAAGGCTGAAGAAAGGATATCGTTAACGTGATCGTTTAAACAGTTTAAACAGAGACAGTGCGATTAATAAAGAATCGGACATTATGTAGTAACCATCAGATAGATCCAGTAGATAGCATATTCTTCGACGCATCACTGTTTACTTCGAAACAATGGCAGGAACGATGCATACGTTTTGACAGGATCTCCGTGGACCGTAAAGATTACGAATACATAGATTGCAATCTAGCGGAATTGCTGTTGAGCCTTCCCCCTATGTAATTTCTATTATCATTCGCCGTTTATGATTCTCGAAAACAGCTGTATCTTCTCAATTCCGTTCTATTTACTTCTAATTAGCAACTTTCCTCCGAAAAGTACACCGTAAGAGAGATAAGAAGAAGGAGGAAGCGGGAGGATCAGGTTTTCAGTTCGAAAGAAGCGTACGAAAGAGAACTTTGTTGAAATTTGCAATTTATTCCATAAAAAGAAAAAACTTAAAGGTAATGGCTCAGGTAGAGGGTCAGGTAGAGCGTATCAGGGTAATCGATGATCATAGAGCGGCGTAGTGGAGTGCGGTGTATGGCAGTGGTGCGTGTGCAGCAGCCAGGGTGAGCGGTGCATGGATGGCTGCAGGAACCGCTGCGTGGACGGCTACCGGGGCCGCTGCATGCACGGCTACAGGAGCTGCTGCGTGAACGGCTACAGGAGCCGCGGCGTAAGCTGCTAGTGGTGCAGCAGCGAAAGTGTTGTAATTCCTAGCGACCACTTGACTGCTCCTGGCAGTTACGATCGGCGCTGGAAGTGCAGCTATCGCCGCTGGTGCAGCTACCAGGGGGGCTGATAGTACTCCGGCAGAGGCTGCGGCAGCCATAAGGACAACGATACACTGGAAAAATAGAACGGAGAACGTGAATTAGGATCGAATCGGCGAAACCCAGAATTCTATGCGTCTAGGTATCATCTAAACATGGTTCACAGTAGAAAGACTTACCGCGATCTTGATCATGGTTGAGCTTGTGATTGGTTCAGCTTGTGAGCGATGAGTGCAGAATCGTCCAAGTGTCCAACACTTTATACCAATGTCCACCGCCAGCGGGGCGGTGGACTTACGAAAAGTGGATGCGCGTGTTGCGAAAGACACGACCTCCTCCTCGACGGTGTGGTCACCTTCGTTCGTGTCAATTTCGTTGGTTGCGCCTCGCATTGGAATGCGACGCGCGTTTTCACGCGCTCCCTCCGCTACGGGCCGCGATCTCCACGCGTTCCTCCTCGTCTATCGTATTTTCAAATCGCTCGCGTTTCGCTGGCTACCACGCCGCGATAGAGGTATCGATCGATTTCGATGACCTTGGTCGAAAGAGAAGCACAGGATGAACATTTCCACGAGCAACGTCAAATTACGTAAGCAACCATGCCGAGCAATTATATAACCCTCTCCGGAGTACGTGCTTGTCCAGTTGGAACATATAACAAGGTTATCACGCTGGCCGTTGTGCTTCCCACACGATCTATCTATCTATTTGCAACTACTTTCGTTCAGTTTTTCATCTAGCGATCTCGTATCTCTTCGTCTTCTCTTCTCCATTCCTTCGAATCCATTTGCCGCTACTCTGTCTCGCTTGATTGCCCCGCCCGCGTTTTTTTCTTATCCGAGTATCCTATTCGGTTCGTTAAGAAACTCGGCGAGATCGTAGACGGTTTTTGCCTATAAAGTTTTTCTTGCCCTATTATTCGATCTTTATCGATTCCCCACATGCCTCTCACTCGCTGGAGATCTGGTCATTCGCATCCCTTCTCTGTCCTTTTCTCGGTTACAACAAGGCCGCGCAACTTCAAGGCAAAGCGAATGCTTTTTTCTCAAGTTCAAGTTCGTCGAGTCTCCGGACAGGGGGAAGCGGTTTCCCCTTCAACGGGTGTATCTCGTATCTCAACTTGGAGTGTATGGGAATTCGTTTAATAAACGGATTACCGATTTTCGAATTCACCGAGCTTTCCAAATTTGTATCTCTTTGGAGCCTCGAAGGAACGTCGAGGAGAAAGCGTGGCGCCGAATGAGGTTTTCCGAGCACGCATCAAAGGCGGGTAGAATAAAAGTTTGTGAACGGACGTTGATAATTACAATTTCGAGCAAGTTCGAGGGCAGGTGTACGTACAGTTTTCGAGTCATCGAACGACTTCTGGATCGTCGATCGGTTTTCGATGCGGCAAGGACAAGGTAGGCGTGCGATGCTGATGAAAAGGGGAAAACCAGTTTGTGTAAAAAATTGATCCGAACATGGATTTGAAAAAGAAGGAAATGGTTGGTATTGTTGGGACACGCCTGGTCTCAGCGTGAAACTCGCAACCTTGAAGAAATCCACGATCCGTCGGCAGTTGGTCGACACGCGGGAAAACCTTTCTCGTGTGGTATAAAGGGAGAAGTCGATTGGTCGTTCGGTGGAAAAAATTCGTCGGTACCAATACGAAGGTAGCGAGTATCTCTTTCATGGTGTGTGCTCCGAAGACCGGCTGTTGCCCTTCGTGGAACACCGGCGATGGGCAAAAGGAAGGGGGATGTAGAAAGATGAGAATCTTTGTCGCAGTTTCCCCTATATAAGCTGCGAATCCTTCCGATTTCATCAAGTTTAATCGTCTTCTCTACTTGTACGTTGTGTATACGCACCTTCGAACTAGTAACCATGTTCAAGACGGTGAGTGAGAATCTCTAGTGTGCGAATCTAGAAGGAAGTAGAAGATGAATAAGAGGTAAGAGAGGGAAGAATTTTGTTCCTAATTAGATTGTTTGAACGTAGTTGTTATTCGCTGGATTGTTGGCGGTTGCGTTGGCTGCACCATCGCCAGTCCCGGCTCCAGCACCAGCTCCTGCACCAGCTCCAAGTGGTTTGATCGCTGCCCCTCTCCCCCCTCCATTGGGACCAACTCTTCTCTCCGGCATTGGCGCACCCGTTCTCTATCCTAGCTACCCACAAATTCCAATTGCCGGTTACACGCCACCCTACATCTATAAGAGCTACATCCTCTAATGATCGATAAAGGAGGCATCGATCGATCCACCAAACAACCGAACAACCGAAATGATCAATCGACTACTCATCTGCTCATCACGAAAAAGTCAATAACTCGCATCTCTGTAATTTCCATGAAGTATCATCGTTTGTGCTTCGATTCTCCATCAATGTTCTGTACTTCTACCACTCGGTATCAATAAAAATCGTTCAAACGCAACTATTTTTGCACCAGTTTCTGCCGATCTCGACTTTACGCATCTAACCTTTCGTTCGTTCGTTCGTTTGTTCGTTCGTTCGTTCGTTCGTTCGTTCGTTTGTTCGTTCGTTCGTTGGTTCGTTAATGAGAATCTATCGCGCAGATCTCGTTATGCAATTCGTCGTTACTCTACAAATCCAATTATGTAAAAGTGGACTTAGGCGTGACCATACTCCGAATAATCGCTGTCCACACCCACTTATGTATGTCGTACAAAAGTGTGCACTTTGATATGCACTACCATGTCTGCAGAATGTTTAGGAGAAATACATTGCCACATCGTCGTGTTCTGTACAGGGAAGTGTTCACTCTGTTAAGAGTGCCGCATTCTTTCAAGTGTTTGATCAAATTAAGAGTGCTACGCGAGTGTGACTCTAAGTTTGGCCATTTTTACAAGACACGATCCTTTCTAAGATAAACGTTCACATTTTCTGCTTGGTTGAGGCAATCAAGATATATACGTCGTACGGTGTGTGTGACTTTTCACAAAACTATCGCTCGAGCTGCGAGAAGTTTGCGAGCTATTGAATCGACGCGCCATTTCATCGATCTTATAGCTGAAAGAGCACTCGATAAACGGTAAGAATGTATTATACCGTATCGAAGAGCGACTGCCGGCATTATGAAATTGGCCTGTGAAATGAAAAGGTCAAACGGATCAACGTCGCGTCGGTGACGCTTGTTATCTGGCCAGAAGTTCGAGGGAGAAATTCGTCATCGATGACGGGGAAGAGGTACCGTTGCGTTTCGTGTAAATCGGGCAAGGCCAATCGACGAAGGAGGGTGCACGCGCTAGTTGTTCGGTGCATCCCAGGAGCTTTTGTTTTTACGAACAACGAGTCAATTATGCAAATCGTTACGTAAATGTAAATGCAATGTCCTCGCAGTCACGTACATCGAGCAAGGGGACAGGTTACCATCTCGTCCAATCCGCGTTAATTTCCAACAGATGGATTTAATGTGCACGAATTTCTCGATCAAATCGACACAAATCGTCACGTTGCGTTTCCCGATGGCAACGTGTCTCGCTTTACAACATTCTTGACACCGGTGGACCACGTGCCAGCATAATAATACCAAGACCGAGAGCTTTTCTTCCCTTACCCGTCGCGATTATCCTACTTGTTCAACCATCTTACACGGAGGGGCAGCAATAATTTATAATAGAATTCTATGCTCGCTATCGTAGAGTAAACTTACAACGCGATCAGCCTGGTTGGTACATCCACCCCTTGGCATCGATCGCCGCGTCGGGTTCACCGACCTCTCTGCTTCGAGACGCGATACAATACTTGTGCTGTCCCCGTTACCGTCCTCTTCTGCCCTTATCTACCATCCCCTCCCCTCCACCCTCTTCTCAACCCCTGGTCGTTCTTTCAACCTACCGTTAAGTCGCGTCGCTGCTAAATTTAACGAACTCGTTTCGTCGAGTGCATTCGACGTATCGATCGTTCCCTATACGGAGACGCGGTTCGATGCTTCCTCTTCGTCACGTCGTTGAGAACGTGTGCTCCAGGTTAAAAGGGAACGAGTTTTACATATTTAAGAGATCGAACCACTGTGCTACTTTTCGTACACTGAACCATCCATCTGCTCTTTGATTTAAAATAGAGGTTGGATATGTGTGTGTGTGTGTGTGTGTATGTGAAAGTGGAAGTTGAACGAAGACAGCGAAGACTGGAGCCGATCGGTTGATTCGGTTCTCCGAGCGCAGCATCCGCAAACGCGTCCGCCGCGTCCTCGCGGATGCGACTCGAACCCTCACGTGGCGGAGAGGACATGCGCACACCCTCTGCGAACCCGCGACATGTATATAAGGGAAGACCGCGAATCTACGAGTATCAGTACGCCTTTGATAGCACGCGAAATACCAGCGACAGATATACAATTACATTACCATTCAGGTATAATTGACATCGCGTGTTTGCAAATTAACTGTCGCATACTCGTCACCGAGTGAGTAACTCAGGAAGGAGAAGAAAGAGGATCACGTACGGAAGAAATAATAACGAAAGTGGGGGAGAGGTAAATAGTCAACGAGAAGAGAACAACGAAGAAGGCAACAATTTTCATCTGAAATTGTATCAATACTGTGTGAACACTGTGACGGTGTGAAATTGAGAAAACCGTACGCGTTGCTGAAAGCGCGCCAACTCTTAACCCTACGCAACTCTACGCGGAACGACGCAACATATAGAAGTAACCGTAACAGCGAGCAGTTCTCACCGAACCGAACCGAACGAACGCAAGTGAATTTCAATTAATTAAAAAGTATTCGACAAGGCTCCGATCTGGCTAGCCGAACGGTGCATATCTTCGTTCGTGATCTCGATCGAATCGGTAGACTACGTCCATCGTCAAGAATGGAGGACAGGACGAGGTTGACCGATCCCGAGGAAGATCGTCGTCGAGAGAATGAAAAGAACGATTCCAAGAGACGAATGGATTCTACCGGTGGTCCAGGCTCTTCGAAACAGGAGTCTGGTGACGACGAGAGCAGCACAGACAGTGGTTGCAGCACTGGTGGAAGTACCGGAAGCGCGGAGAGATTGTCGCGTCGCGGAAGTAGCGAGCGATTGTGCCGCGCTACCAGGTCGCCGAGGACTCACTGCTATTTGGATCGTCTTCGAGGTCGACCTACTTGCTCACAGGAACGATTGTCCAGCGTTCACAGAATCTCCGAACGTGTTCGAGCGAAATCCTCTCGCTCTTGGAGCCCTGGAGACGTGAGAGGTGTCGCGAGAAATTCCGAATCTCTCTCGTACTCGTCGAGCCCCTCAGACGCCCACAGCAGCACCGACAGCGATTCCCTGAAAAGATCCAGCACAACGGACACCCTCCGGAGAGCACTTCAGACCCTCAAGATATCCTCCAAGTGGGAGGGAAAGGAGAACAAGCACACGAAGAAAAGCCCGAAGAGAATTTTACGCAGCCCGGTATCGTATACGTACGTGAAAGGCCTTTCGGGGCTGCCAACACAGAGGGTCCCAAGAAACGTGGCGCAACAACTAACGATGCCGTGTTCCTGTCAGGATCCCGTTGGTCTTTACCGATAGATGCCGTTAAATTGATTCGAAACGAACCTGCTTGTTGGCTCGACCGATTCATCCGATTCACTCTCATCCCATTTCCATTCTGCGTCTTGTTGTGCCATTTACGTAATTTCCACGTAGATCGCACGAATAATCAAACAAACCCTCCACTCTTGGACCATTTTTTGCGATCGAGACTATTCACTCTGTCTCTTACTCTCTCTACTTCTTTCAAGCGGCTGTTTCTTTGCCGCTATATTTTTAAACCTCGACCAAACGAGTGGATCAAAATGTATACGAATCTAGAGTGATATTACGATCGTGGCGAAAATGATAGAAAACTCGAAATATCGGTAACGAAGCGTCGGATCTTTTACAATTCCACGAAAGAAATTGGCAAAAGTAAATGCGACGCGTTTCTTCCTCCGTCGTGATTTCCTTTCGCTGAAATCGATTGCGCTTCGCTAATCGTGTGCTCTTTCGATGGCGGATAATAGGAGGGAGAATAATTGCGAGAATTTGTAGAGATAGGGATGCGTCGACGTACCGCGACTTTTTATGTTTGTTGGTCTCTCGTTCGTAAAACGAGAATAGATTGAGTAGCAAAAAGACCGTAGTCGTGCAAATATGTATGTACCTTTTTGTAGAAACGATTAGTACATCCGATAACACACACTTGTACACTAGCGATACTAATTACGTTACGCACGAGCGAATTCAATAGTTGACGACTATAATTCGCGATCCGTTTGGATCGCAAGTACAAAGAAGAGGAAGAAGTACTACACACGGACCTTCTTTGCCGACTTCGCAACGAGGCCCATTCTGAACGCGCCTCTAACGAGATACTGTTTCACGATAGAGTATTATTTCGTCGCGAACACCGAGCTCCGTTAATCACGATACACGAGTCAATTACGTGGATGTGTGGAGATCGCGCAATGTACGAATCTCTTCTATCGTAAAGGGTTGAACGAAAAAGAAAAAAGAAAAAACAGGAATTGAGTGTACGTCGTTAAAAGGATTAAAGAAATACTCGCGATCTCGCGTGATCTCTATCGCTGACCGTCCGACGTGACGTTCGGTCGTGCATATTCCATATAGATTATAGAAATATACTTGTTCGTTAAGGGTACTTTTAAAACATATCACGATTCACAAATTGTATAATGCGGCGTTCGTTCAACGCAACCACTCGTCCGAGAACAGGCAAAATTCGGGTGCGTGCCGTACGAGAAGGTTTCTCAAGTTTCTTCCTTCTTTCGCAAGGTCCGGTGTGCTAACAGCCATTTGGCAAGTGTCGCGAACGAAAAAAGAGGAACGAACCGTTGAGTTTTCGACCTCGTTTTCGTTCTCCGTTACACACTCGCACGCGCGTAATCTTACGAGGGAAAGAATAACGACGAGACACGGAGATTGCACAGCACGCCGGAATCGCGAGTGGTTGCCGGTAATCGAACAATCGATAGTGGCGAAAAAAGGGGAAACTCCTTTCTTGAAACTGTATCGTCGAAAGTTCTCATTTACGTGAAGGCGAACGTAACCGCGAAACGTATACGCGATCTTTCAGTGCCTTGTAAATATCTGCCGCGTGGTTGCACGGTATGTCGCGTAATAATTGGCACACGGTCAAACAAATGTGACGTACCTACTTAAAAATAACGAAAAAAGAAAAGAAAGCCTAACGGGGGTATTCTTTACGAAATTCGTATTCGCGTATTATGCGCAAAAAAATATGTTTCTCGCGGGTAACACGCGAACGAACAAGGAGAACGCGAGAATGCAAATTCTCAGGACTGAATGTTTTATATTAAGAATTACCTATGTCGATACTACTCGTAGTTTACGTTTCAAATAAACGTTTTTCATTCAAACTATCTTCAACGTTTTACCGCCTCCTCATTTCTCCCAACGAATTTTCCTCCATCGCCCTTGTACAATTAATACGAGATATTTTTCCTTTCCCCCGATAAAAAGTTCGTACATTTCCGGTCTCTCGCTTTGGAAAGGGTGGGCCCGGGAGGTCCGTATGCAACGTGTCCGTACCGGAACACGATCCACGGAAAGACGTGGAAACGTGGAAGGACGTCCCTGGTCCGTTTATAGCTTCGGCCATGACAGAATCAACGAGTGACCCAGTTGCAGGGATTTGCACCCCGTGACGTCACTCGCAACAAGCGACGCCATTCATGACCCTTCTTTGACCTAGATCACCGTTAGTCTCGTCCCCGCGAAATACCATAGTTCATTCAAGGATCGCGTTCACGTCCGCAACCGATACTTGTGCTTTAACTGGACCAATGATATTACAGCTTAACGCAACCTCTCGCCGTCCTCGGTTCCACCAATCATACGAAAAACCCTCTTTTATTCGTTGCTCTCGTTTCCTCCCATTCTCCTCCCCCTCGTTTCTTTTCCTCTCTTAGACATGGAAAATCGTGGACGAGACGAAAGACGATAGTTAAGATCGCGATACGCGTGTACACAGGAATT